CCACTTTGCAAAGTGGATGCATCATAGATCAGAGGCTTAGGAGCTTTCTCAGGCTTCTGCTGATACCATGCTAAACAATTGCTAATGCCCTGACTGGCCTTGCAAGTGATGGTGACTGTGTCTCCTAGAGATGCAGACAAAGAGGATGGAGACTGGGTCATCTGGATGTCACATCTGGCACCTGAAGATGGGAAACATAAAGACAAATTACTACATGATTAATCATGTTATAAGAGGACTTCCCTAGAAAACCAGGCAGCACTGACCACAGTAGAGAGTAAATTCCTACTGTTGTCCCTCTTTACCTGTGAGCCAGAGCAGCAGGAGCCCCAGGAGCTGAGCAGGGACCTTCATGTCCATGTTGTGTCCTTACTGCAACAGAATCCTACAGAGGGTGTGACCAGCCTTTGAATAAGTCTTCAGGGCTGTGGGATGTGCTTTGGGAAGATGCAAATCACAGGGGCTGGGGCAGGGCTGGGCACAGCTGCAGGGTTGTCTCCTAGTAATTATGCACAGGCCCAGTGTCCCCATGTGTTCCACACCAAACCAGGGAAGCACAGATTTGTCTGCCACGATCACATTTCTTTCTGGGAGCCTCAGGAAAGAGTCAGTGTGCCATCCTGTTAGTAGTGTTGTACTGCTCTCCTCGGGGGTTCATGACCTGCTTCCCTTCCTCTCTCTTTTTCTAAGACAATGTCTCCCAGATATAACACAACCTCAGAAACTCAAAGATATTCTTCCAGCTCCCTGCCTTTGGGACTTGTGCATAGTATTGAGAGACGAAAGGCTTTCTCATTGCTCTGATTCCCTGGTAATCTTGGTGTGGTCAGTTATCAGTTCTACCACTCAGAGATGTGGTGAGTAGAAGAGGAATTTTAAGAAGTGCTTGTGATTTGTCAGAAAATGCCTAGATATTGGGTATCTGCCTTTGCAAAATGAAACAAGTTAGTTTGAGTTCATGTTGGTGCAAAAAAAAGTTTGCAATGTATACAGTTTTTTTCATAATATGCAATTTCCACAAACTTTCTGAGGACCACCAGCAATCTTAACATTATTATCCATTAAAGAATATATGAACCCATGAGTTTAAGTTGTTATTTAATGAGGAATAAGTCTAAGAATTGTCAAGGAACTTTTCAACAAGTTTTTATTAATTTCAAATGCAAGAGAGAAATCTGAGAGACACCACCATAATTGAGAAAGTGAAGTGAACATCATCAGTAACGGGCCTGACTGAAATTATGGAACACCTAATGGGAGGCCATGAGCAGAACACAGCATCACTTCTGGACGTTCCTGCCAAATATGAGTTACCTGAATCTAACCATGAGGAAAGCAAACAAATCCAGACTGAGTGACATTCAATCAAATAACTGGTGTGTAATCATCGAAAGTAATAAGATCATGAAATTTAGGGAAATACTGAAAAACTTTTCCAGACTGAAAGAAACTAAAGGGACAGGGAAGCATGTGTTTCTGGACTGGATGAGTTTGTTGCAAAAGACATTATAAGTACACCTGTCCACACTTGAAGCAACCCTGTGGGTTAGATGTAGTAACGCAATAATGATGACTCTATGATTTCTTGGTTGTACTGGGTTATGTAGAATATTTTTTCATTTGTAGGAAATAGTTAAGTATTAGAGGTTGGGGCCATCAGTTCTTCAACTTACTCTTAAAGGGTTCAGAGGAAAATAATTTGGACTGTACTTTAACAACATTTCTGTTTAAAATTGTTTCAATTTTTTAAATAAAGAAAAGCAGTTTTTGAGTACATGCTATATGTATTCTAAAACATTTTGGAATGGACTTATCCATCGTTAAGGTTATTAAAGGACCAAGTAATTATTTGCAGAAGCACAAAATGTACCACATGTCTTCAAAGTAAGATGCAATCCACCAGGTCACTGGGTACTGAAGAGACCAGGGGCTCTGGACACAAACATCTCTGTGAATGATGCACCTTTTGAAGAAATGTATTTTTTGTCTTCTGGTATTTTAAAGCTGTTGTTAACTGCATACATATTTAGAATTTCCATTTCTTTTTAGTGAATTAACTATTTTATGTATCATGTAATGACACTCTCCATCCCCTGTAACTTTTTTTTCTGAAGTCATAGAGTGGGGTTTTCTTTAATCTGATAACTTGTGGGTTCTGCTGAGCTTCTTATGTTTGTAAATTTATTTCCCTCCTCAAATTTGTGTATATTCTCCCATTATATATTCAAACATTTCTAGGGAAATTCAGTTACATTAATTTGTTACTTTTTAATATTTTCCAACATGTTTTTTTTTTTTTTTTTCCTTTTTGTCTTTTTTACTGACTGGTAACGGGATCGCAACCCTCGGTGTCACGCCCGCACTGCGCTCAGCCAGTGAGCGGAACTGGTCTCCACATGGGATCCGAACCCTCAGTGGGAGCGCCACCACGCTCCCAAGCTGCACACTCTCCAGTGCGCCACCGGGCCGGCCCTTTTCCAACATGTTTCTAAATGCCTTTGTTTGTTTGTTTTTTTCCAATCCTTTATCTCTGGGGTTCAGATTGGTTTATTTCTATTTACTTTTTACTTCACCCACTCTTTTCTATCTTATATCCATTAGGTTTGGGGGTTCATCCACTTGAATTCTTTCATGTCAGATGTGATGGTTTTCAGTTCTAAAATTTCACTGTGTTGTTTTATATTGTTAATACTTTCGAACACACCATGTGAAGGAATAAAAAAAAAAATAACTGTGTCTACTTAAACTATTCAAAGGGACTATTCACGCTGTGCGCCTGGGCTCTTCCTCTAGGGACTGGATCCAGGCTGTGGCTCTTGCTGGGCGCTTGCTTTTTGTCTTTTTTACTGACCGGCAATGGGATCACAACCCTCGGTTTTGCGCCCGCACCGTGCTCAGCCAGTGAGCGGAACCGGTCTCCACATGGGATCCGAACCCTCTGCAGGAGCGCCACCACACTCCCAAGCTGCACACTCTCCAGTGTGCCACCCGGCCGGCCCTTTTCCAACATGTTTCTAAGTGCCTTTGTTTGTTTGTTTTTTTCCAATCCTCTATCTCTGGGGTTCATATTGGTTTATTTCTATTTATTTTTTAGTTCACCCACTCTTTTCTATCTTATATCCATTAGGTTTGGGGGTTCATCCACTTGAATTCTTTCATGTCAGATGTTATAGTTTTCAGTTCTAAAATTTCACTGTGTTGTTTTATATTGTTAATACTTTCGAACACACCATGTGAAGGAATAAAAAAAAAAATAACTGTGTCTACTTAAACTATTCAAAGGGACTATTCACGCTGTGCGCCTGGGCTCTTCCTCTAGGGACTGGATCCAGGCTGTGGCTCTTGCTGGGCGCTTGTTCCTGCAGCACATTCATGCTCCCTCTGCTGGCTGATGTGCGCCCTCTAGTGGCACTTCGCGACAGCAAATTCAGGCCTTCACGTTTGGAGGGAGTTACATAGTCCACTAAGAATATGAAAGCTCTGGATCCCTCGCCACAGAAACTGCACTATGAAAAAATGTAAAAATAATACTGATGAAAATTTTAAATAAGGAATTTCAAGTTTTCTGCTGGGACTGCGTACTTAGTGCTTACTTCAAAATTATCTATTTTTAACCTCATGGGGTATGGTTATACTAGATCCTTTAAAGCCTTTGTCTGAAAATTTCTACATACATCTGGATCATCTCACCGTTGGAATTTGTTTCTAATATTTTATATGTCAAATTATTTCAAAAAGTATCCTGAATATACTAAACATTATCCTGAATTCTATTACAATCCCGTGGAGAATTTTATTTTGTTGTTATTGTGCTTTGTTTTAGTTTCAGATGGGATGTTCTGTCGTGCCTTTAACAAGCAATGGTTCCACTATAAGTTCAGTTTTCAACGATTTGCCAGGATGTTTCTGTTTGGCTCTGTGATGTGCATGTGCCACTCGAATGTTAACTTGAGACTTGCACTTTGGTTTACACAGTATTTTATTTACCAAAGTCTTTGTTATTTGGGGGGAAGGGGGCGGAGTGTTTTCTGCTCATGATGAAGTTAAGAATTAGCTTGACACTCAGTTTATAAACAGTTCATTCACAGGAGTAATGTATCTCAACTTTCTGTAGTCACCTTCCCCCACCACAATTTGACTATTAAAAGTCTTATTTTCCAGTTTCTCTCAGAGCTATAATTTCCTGCACAGCCACACACTTCTGCATAAGGACAGCCTCACTTTAGCAAAAACAAAGTGAGAAAAAAGAGGAAAANTCTGTAGTCACCTTCCCCCACCACAATATGACTATTAAACGTCTTCTTTTCCAGTTTCTCTCAGAGCTATATTTTCCTGCACAGCCACACACTTCTACATAAGTACAGCCTCTCTCTGGCAAAGCAAAGTCAGAAAAAGAGGAAGATACAATGAGAATTTCCTTACACTCAGCAGACCACAGGGTTCCTCTTACTGTTTCATCTCACCAGAAAGATGAGGTTTTATACAGGAGTATAGGTGTCTTTGGTGACACAGCCACTGTGGTACCAGTGAAGATCTATGACCAGAGAGACAGAATAAATGAAACAGTGACCAAATCCTGATTTCTGCATTCACAGTGGTCCCTTTCCCCAGTCTTATTGCCAAAAGAAAGCAAAAGAAAGGGTTTGTTTTGATGTGTGTGTGTGTGTGTGTGTGTGTGTGTGTTGTTCATACCCATTGTACTCTTGCTTAATTTGGATTTCTCTCAGGTCACCTATGAGAGATAAACATACCACAGACCTTTTACACTGATCCTGCTTTTAGAATCAAGACATTCAGATTTTGCAACTTTTTACGTATGCCAGGAGTGAGTATTTCAGTATCTTTATGAAATGCACAGTCAAGCCTCCTTCTTCAAGTATGCTGTGTGAAAGCACATAGTTTTCCAGCTCTTTTGAACTACTCCGTGTTCTGCTTTTTAGACATCTCTTATTACCTACAAATATAGTTTATAAAACTGTTTTGCTTCATTTTTTGTATTTATAAAACATCTTTCTGAAAATGTTAACATTATGTCCTCACATTCAAATTAGATTTGATATTGTGGCATTTCTATTGATGACGATCTAAGCCTCCTGAAAACAAGCCAAAGGTTCTTTCTGCTGTGCATTATGCTAGAGGAGTTCAAATGGGTCAGACTCATGGACACCCTCAGCAGTGGAGAGTTTTTTCAATCTTGAGCTCGGTGATGGGAGCCTCAGTGATTTTTCTAGTAACCTGAAATCTCAGCATCCTCTTGCTTGTTTGATACTTTTTTCATGGAAGACATAGCTTGTCTGGTGAATAAGGTAAATTGTGAATTATTTTATACATAAGGAGGTCAGTGAAGAAGCCTTGAGCAA